CGTACAATTGACAAACTCACATAGGTTATGTTTACTACTTAAGAACAGCTGATGAGAGGGGTGTTATGTAAACAAACATGTGTACCAACTGTTGGTGATGAAATATTTCATTTGTTGAAAACTCAATTTACATATATATAATATAATGATACTATATCTTGAAAACAAGAGCTAATATATAATTTTTATGGTCACTTTCGGTTTTAACACGTGGAAATACATTAAAATCATCTAATTTCAACCCCGAAACAAAAACATTGTTGTGTTGTGTAATTTTAAAGTTACCAAAATTGTTATTGTCGAAATTCTTTTTCGCCCCGTATCTTCGAAACAAAGCGCCCTATCAAAAACCATCAATGGACAAAATATCCATAGAATAGCCCAAGAAATAGTCCCTTAATTTTTTTCCGTATGTTTAATAAACACACTGTAGATAAACTATGTCTTTTATACTAAGTAATTTGGACGAACCGTTTAAAAATTATCACGATAAGATTAACTTGGCACAATGCAGTGAGCCATTACGCTTCACGACTACTGTAAGATTACGGGAGATGATGCGCGGGGTAAGACGGCGGTCTAAGCAATGAAGCGCCATCGCCGAGAATGCGACACGAACGCGGGCAGACGCGTGAGGGCAGACGTCGTTGACGATTGTGTTAGTTTTGCGAATTTCTTTCGATTCGTATCGATTCTCGAAGCTATTCATTTCTTAGTGCAGCTGGCATATTTTTCTAGTTACTGTATTTTTGAAGTAAAAATATAAATTACTAGTTGTTGCCTGCTCTTATATTAACGTTCAGCCGAAGCTACTGAACCTAGAATCTTGAAATATGTAGGTTGGTTCTTTGTATAGTGTAAATAAGCATCAAGAAAGGGAATCAGGAATTTCCACCCCCCAGCGGGGAAAAATAGGAGTTTAAAGATTGTATTGAATTTCGTCAGTTTTGAAGTTAGAAACCTGAAGTACCTATATTGTAGCTATTTGTTTAAAATGGTCTGTCACGAAACTTAATGTGACAATCAATATTCTATAATTTTTTATTAAGAGCTCGAACTTCTGAATGTTACTGAAATCCAAACAGAGTTCTCCCGTTGTTGATGTCATTCATTGAGATCCGAAATATTTATATTCACTGAAATCCAAATAGATTTCTGTCAGAGTTGTCTTGAAAAAGAGAAACCAATATTTTTTTTTTTTTTGAAGAAAGCCATGAAATACATGAATGACGAAAAAGTGGATATATTTTTTGTTTATTCGAGATGTTTGAGAAATGCTACCAAATATCTGGCAATGTATCAGGAATTGTATCCTGAACAACGACAATCTAATCATAGATATTTTTAACATATCGAAAATAGTTAACGAAATGGATCCTTTGAAAAACCCCTCCAAAAGAAAATGTACTGTTACTGAACGTGGTGGCGATAATGAAATCGGCGTATCACAGAGGGGAATTGCTCATAATTCGGCCATATCCACTACGTCTATACGAAAAATTTTGAAGAAAAATAAATTCAAGTTTTATCTAGTCAGGAAAATCAACTGGAGAATAGTTTTTTTTGTCCGTTAGGAAATTTCGCCAAACATTTTCAACACGACGGAGCTCCACCGCATCGCAGGAGAATGTGCAGATATTTCCTCAATTCAACTATGCCAGGAAGATGGATAAGAAATAATGGTCCTATTGAATGGCCACCACGTTCATCAGACCTTCCTTTTCTAGATTTTTTGTTGGGGGGCTTCATTTTATTTCTTTGTAATTTCAGTTTTTTGTTTAATAATATTGTTATTTTTTGGTTATTTATTTTTATTTTTTACAGATTATTTCAGGGATTTCAAATCAATTTATATTATATTAGACAATGGGAAGACCGAACTGATAAAATACACCACGAACCATTGTCAACCACCTTCAAACATAGCAATCTGTTATTAATGAATTGTCATCTTTGCGGATTATTTTTGTATCTAAGAATGGAATGGTATTATTTTCTTCCAGTTCCATAGTGAATTGTAATTTGGAGTTATAACTGTTTACTTTTTTGAGTGATTTATCCTTCGGGATAACACAAATGAAATCATCAACAAATTTTTTTTAAGAAACGGAACTTTGAAACTAAGTTGGGGGGTACTTCATCAAAGAGATCATTCATAACAAACTGTGCTAGTATTGGTGAAATTGTTGCACCCATTGGTATACCTAAGTTCTGTTTATAATAATTTCCTTCAAATGAAAAGCAACTTGAATTGAAAATGAATTTAGTTATTTCAAGAAATTTGTTTTGGGTAATTTGACATTTTTTTTCTTATATCATTCCATTTTTTTAGTATTAATTTTTCAACCATTTCTATAGGTATGTTGCTGAAAAGAGATACCACATCAATACTTATTTAATTATATCCTGGTGGTACAGATTTTTCATTGATGAAAGAAGCAAATTCAAAGGAATCTTTAATATAATATTCATTATCCAAGTTATATGCTTGAGTTCACTCAGTTGAGTTCATTATAACGGTCACATTACCTATATCTGATCTAGTCAATATCAAATTTGGGTGATTTTTAAATAAATCTTTAGATTTTTTATATAGTTGATTTAGATGATTTTCATCATTATGTGGTTTTTCGAAAAAATTAGTAAGCAGTAGTTGATTTTGGTTCTGTAAATATTTTTCTAATTTTCATTGAAATCATTCATTATACATTCGATTTCCGACGATAAATTTAGAATCGAAATGTCTTTTATTGTTGGAGGTAAACTGAAATTGTATCCAAGTGCAAGGAAGGTTGACTTTAGTCAAATTTTTTAACCACTTTTCGTTAGTTTTGATTTCTTGGTTTCTGAATATTTTTTATCTATTCAATTTATTTATATTCTTACATTTTATATCATTAACCATTTTGTTATATTTGTTAGTTTGTGTTTTTTCATGTTTGTACCAAATTTCATGAGGTAGTGAACGTCTTAGAAAATTTGTATGTTTAGTCAATGGCGATTTTTGAAATAGAGTAAGTTTGTTTTTTGAACGTTTTGACTAAAAGTCCTGTTAGTCCCTACCTTCCATATTACTACCTTCAGTTGTTAATGAAAATCACATTTGTCATCATCTGGTGATTTTTTGTTAAGTGTTCGGAAGTCGAAACGTTGCGAAATTCATTCCCGCGGAGGATGAAAATACACCATACGGAACAACATATTCTTTTCAACATATTCAACATATTTTCATTTCAACATATTCTTGTCCGTGAAAATCTTCGATCTAACATTTCAAACCTTTACGGGGAGAAGGGGTCATATCGAGAAGAAGAAGAACTGAGGTACCAAAACATACAGGTACCAAATTCAGGTAATCAAGAACGGTATTTATGTAACAACATCATTGTACCCACACAGTAAGAAGTCATCTGAGTAGGGTCAGACGACTTTCGAACACTTAACAAAAAATCGCCAGATGATGACAAATGTGATTTTGTCGAAACGTTGCGAAATTCATTCCCACCGAGGATGAAAATACACCACACAGAACAAACCCGAAGAATCATTTCAACATATTCCTGTCCGTGAAAACCTTCAATCTAACATTTCAAACCTTTACAGGGAGAAGAGGTCATATCGAGGAGAAGAAGAAGAACTGAGGTACCAAAACATACAGGTACCAAATTCAGGTAATCAAGAACGGTATTTATGTAACTGAAGTAAATACTACTCTTTTTGAAAAGAGAAATGAAAATTTCTTTTAACGAGGGGTGTAATATAAAAAAGGACATAAGTATAGATATAAAACATAATAACGTAAAAAACAGTAACATACCTGTGCTATGTGAGGATTATTACTTTATGAATTTTAATTTTTAGAGAAATATTGAACATGAGAATGACATTTTTGACATTGAATAATGTGGAATACTTTTTGTTATACTTTTTTAACTTTTTTAATGTCATTTATCATGGTGATTTGTATTACAGGATGTATTCAGGTTTTTTTTGTTAGTAAAAATGAATAAATTTTGCTAAGATTGTCGTTTTCATAAACAAAAAATAACTTAACAAACCTTATCGGGTTGTTGGAATTGCCATATGGAGAATAAAAAGAAATATTTATAGAAATATCGATATTAATGTGTTTGTCTTCAGGAAATTATTGAATTATCCGCCATTTTGTAGTAGGTGAAGATATTGACTTCATATTCTAGGGTTCTGAAGTATTCGTCGGGAGCTTCAAAATGATATGTCACAAGACCCTCCTTTCCATTTAATTATTTTTCCCAGATGGCGCCCAGTCACCATCTTGAAAGTTTCATCTGTCAATTTCACTTCAAAATAAAGTATTCATGCATTAATTCCATTAATCCAAATTTAAATTTTTTGAGTTGACCCGTTCAAAAAATAAAAGGGGGGGGACATTAAAAGGAGCAATGAAAACCACTCCCATCGAACATGTTTTCAGGAATTACAATACATGTTTAACATAAACTTCACGGTTGAAGTCTTAAACCAGGAAGAGTGGAAGAGGGAAATGGCTAATGCATCTATAAGTAAACGTCAGTTGCACCCTGAAAACATCAATGAATTCAGAACAAGACTAGGCTCAATTTATTGGACCTCACTATATTTCACTGATATGAATTGTGGATTTTCTTATTTTTCTGAACAAATTTCCTGGTGTTATGATGTTTCTTGTCCTTTTAAAAGAACTAGGCCTAGGGAAAATAAATCAAACTTATGGATCTCAAATGATTCAGTCAAAGAGAGCAAAGCCTTAAGAGATTTGTTTTGGTTAATTTCCACTAACTGTAATGTGGACCATCAAGCTATGCAATTGTATAAACAAAAAATTAAAGAACACAAATTAAATATAAAAAAAGAAAAAAGTCACTATTACGATTCAAAAATCAGGAAATCCAGTAACAAAACTAAACAAGTTTGGAAAATAATAAATAATGAATTGGGAAATAAAAAAAGGGCACTTGGAAACAAACCTATTACTCTAAAAAATGAATTAAAGGAGGAAATTAACAATCCACAAGAAATTTCAAACCTTTTCGTTGAACATTTTTCATCTTCTGCCGAATTGCTCATCTCAGAGCACTTTGGTCAAAATGTATTACTTCCCTGTACCTATTCGAAGAATACTGTTAGTCAGTATCCCTTCGATACATCCCCATTCACAAAGACAGAAATTCTAGGTACTCTGGAAACAATGGCAAATAAAAACTCCGCAGGTACTGATGGTATCTCAATAGTTACTGTGAAAAAAATTGTAGACCTTATAATCGAGNCCATATTTTTTGTTTTTGTATTGTTCACCTTCTGTAGTTTTATTAATGTTTTTTAATTATGACTTAGCACATGTACTCAATGTACCAGTGTCAAATAAATAAATAAATAAATAAACAGTTATCTCAAGAACATGCATGGCAGAATTACCTAGTATAGAAAAGGGTAAAAAAACAAACATAAAACGAGACCTAGAATTTTCTGTGGGGAAGAGAAGTTTTAAATTCAGTTACCCACTCGGTCAATACACAGGCTAAAGTGTATAAAAATTTGCATTGCAAATGGAACATCAATTTGAGGCCTCACCAAAATCAGTGGATCAATATTTTCACAGACAACCAGACTACATTTGGCGCATCAACAAAACCAAAAGTAAAATCGAGACTGGTCTGGCAATGATGTGAAGAACTGAGGAAATTGGTGTAATGGAATATATTGGCTCTACACTGGGTGCCAAGACACTCAGATATCACAGGCAATAAAAAAGCTAAAGAGTATGCCAGACACAAATCTCCTTCCTTGTATAATTAAATTTTCACATTGAAGTAATTGTTTCAAAAGTATTTTTTCTTTCGTGTAATTCAATCTTTATATGAAAGTAGTTGTTTCCAGGACTTTTTCTTCCAGTTTGTGTCTGAAAGTTACTTCTTTGAATGATCTACACAACTTTGTAAATAGTTTATTTTGAAATCAATTGCTTTCTTATTTTTGTTGAAGTATTGAGAGAAGTAGAAAGTCAAAAACTTCCATTCATAAAATCTTCATGATTAACTTAATGAAATACTAAGTAGAGTAGTATACATACAAGTGTTCATTGAATCTACCTCCAGGACTGGATTTTAAATGCTTGTACAACTCCCCTCTTCCAGCATACTCCAGAATCAAGTAAATCCTGTGGGAATCATGAAACCAAGCCAACAATTGTAAAATGTTGGGATGTCTGAAATAAAAAAAAAATGTATGAATTGATAGATGTAGCTGTTACTATATGGTAGACCATCAGGACAAAGTGAGAAAAAAAACTTTTGTTGTTCTATGATATAAAAATAAAGTTTCATTTCTCATTTTTTCATAACAAAAATAAATTTTAATCAACACTACCAGGACACTTACTTCAAATGACTTTGGATCTCTATTTCCCTTAAAGTTTGTCTCTCAACACGGCCTTTCACAAGTTCCCGTTTTAGTAGAGTCTTTAAGGCAACGATGAATCCAGTTTTTCTCTCTCGAGCTACATATACCCTCCCAAACTTTCCTCTTCCCAACCTTTGCCCTAATTCGAAGTCATCCAGAGACCATTTATATCTAAGAAAAAACATGATTTTACTTTTATCTACTTTTTCCAAGTACAATACCTACTCATTGTTTCCAAAAGCATCATGTGAAAGCATATTAGACACCATGAGTCGAGTGTCATTTTCCAAACCTTGGGGAATTTTTAAGGTTTTCAGGTATTGTTCTGTTTCTTCGTTAACTTTTTTCTTTGTTGACTCTTTAGACATTTCAAAAATATGAGATTGTAAAAGTTGGAATTTATCAAAACTGAAGATAACTGCTAAAATAGCTAATAAAAATAACCGTCATGCATTCAAAATTTAAAACTGCAAAATTGACAATATTGACTGACAGACTATTGACAGTACGCAGTTACGACACGTCAAATTCTGATACAAAAGACCGCAAAATAATACGTTCCAGACTTACCAAAAATGGTATGTTCGATGGTTATGATTACTTTTTTTTAGACTCTCTATGCTCTAGCCCTGAAATGTAGTAATTTCTTTAACGCATAATGCTATCCTATGTATAAAAAGCGTTTCAAGTTACAGTATTCCATGCCTATATACGGAATACTGTAAACAAATCGTATAGTCGCTGAAACACAACGATTATGAGTATGTCCATAATCGTTGGCTGAAACACTGTAAATGATCCGTTCGTAGTGGTCTCACATATATCAATGTGCATAGCATAAGAAGAAAGAAGAAAGTTATTCGATGTCAAGAAGAAATTGTGAGCTATGAGCTATGTTCAAATTTCAATATTTCTGGTATACCCGGAAATGAAGGTGACTTGAGAATATTTCAGATATAGATAATCATAAATTTGGAGTGTTATGTCCACGAATTGTTTCATTTTTTATTTGTATCATGAACACTCGATAAAATCTCTATTTGTATACACGCCATACAAAACACACATAATGTCCCCCCTCCAGAGAACATAAAACTTATAAAACAAGTCAATAAAAGAAACCGTATGGACATCTGGGAAAACTTAATCCATAAATTTAACAATCATAATTCACTTATCGAGGAACAAATACAAATCAGAACACAACAAGACCTAACATTCAATACATTACACAGAACAATACACACTCCTAGAAACAGTAAACCTAGATGATCCAACAAAAATAATATTACCTGACGTAACCCAAATACAGGCAAGAATTTACCTAAAATACCTGCACTAAGGCGTTCGGACCGCATAAAAGAGAATGACACGTTGGTTTGAGTAGAGCCTTGATGATGACCAGCACGGCCAGCTGTCGAAAGCGCTCGCATATGGTAAATAGGAGTTATAAAGTTTCAAATCCTTTTTGTAACATGTATTAATATTGAAATGTGCGGCTGGCTCTCGTTGCCAAGTGTGTTGCCCATCCTTACACTTGGCTGCACCATACTGATGATGGGCACACCTCTCTTGTCATTCCATTCGGATTCCAAGACATCGGTTGCGGATGCNAGAAGAAATTGTTTCCAGTGGCGGAAGTAATTTTCAGGGAACATTTCAAAATTGTACATTTATTATTTGTAATGACGTGAATAAATAAAATATGGTTCAGTTTTCATTTCTATTCATTTTTACTTGTGAAAGGTAGAGGGAATTATAAAATCTATAATGTCCCAAGGGAGTTATGACCCTCTTTATTGATAGCGTAACTATGACGATATAAGCTTATAATATCTCGGTCAGAAATAAAATCTGTTTTTATAATCTGTTTTTCCGTTAATCATATGAACATTAAACTACACGGAAAAAAATACTTTCCAAACAAATACTTTTATATGAACATTGAATTATACAAAACACCCTTTATTCCTTTCAGTTTGTATCATATATGTACTTTATATACTTACTCTAGATCGCTAACTCCATCTACTTTTGCTCTGAAAAGTTTTTGAAACAAATCTGCTTTTCCGTTAACCAGCTGTCGCACCCTTACGAAAGACAACTCGAAACTTGTGCGAGCTAAGGACTAACGAGTTCTTACCTTTTAAAGTTTGATTCATAACACGGGTTGGACGATAGCAAGTGAAAATCGATCGCCTGGGGCTTGAACCACCGACCAATACGGCGGTCGATTTGAGTGAGTGAACAAAGCACCCACGTCGAACCGACCGGCTACCGACCGAAGTGTTGCCGAATACCAAATATTTTTGTAAATGCGCATGCCAATAATCAGTCTCCTAGTTCTGCAGTATTGACAAATTTCAGAAAATTTGATCTTTGTAATTGGGTCTACTCAAGTTCTTGCTGAATTTTTGGGATCGTGCAACAGTGTTTACAATTTTCAATTGCTGCACAGGAAGGCTGGCCATTGTTGTCAATGCTGGTGATATATCACCAGATTCGGTGATTTTAATGTCAATGTGGTGATTTGGTGATTATTTTTCAGATTTCTGTGATATTTTGGTGATTTTTGTTTTATTATGACAAATTTGAAATTGAGAGAAAGAAAAAGAACGCTAGCATAACTCGGTAACCGAAAACAACAACCTCGCATTATGCCTCATCTGCATGACGCATAAATTAACAGAAGACAGAACCATCGACATAAGTTATGTCGGTGAACAGAACACACACTCATACCTCTTGTATTGCGTTCTACGTTAACTCACATTTTATCTGTGTTCTGTTCTAACCCATTTTCTTTTGAATTTTCATAAGTTATAAAAAATATCAATATGCAAAATAAGAAAAATAAATTAAAGACGATGAAATCCATGGATAATGATGATTTTTAGGTATTATTTATGAAGGACACTTTTAGCTAACAATTTAATGATGTATTTTTTGTAGAAATTGTTCATTCTCCAGTTGACNTTATCTAATCTCAATCATCAATATAATCAATTATTTAAAGCAAATAAATAAAAAAAACATCCTAGAAAATAGCCCAAACAAATTTCCACATGAATGCGCATGAGCAACGGGAACAGTTCTCAACAGTTCAGCCTCGAGAGCAAGAATGATTCCGGACGGTTCAAGACGACAGTTCAGGATAATTTCGCAGTCGAAACCAGAGTAGAGAATTCATCAATCCGAACTTATCCTCAATAAACCAGAACGCTCTTTATCAACTAAGCATGATCCTGACGTCCTAGAACCTGAATTTCGTAGAACTAGAACGAATCTAGGGTATCATCAGGAATTGTATTTGTATCTGTATCTAATGAATCTGTGTCAACTGGAGAATGAACAATTTCTACAAAAAATACATCATTAAATTGTTAGCTAAAAGTGTCCTTCATAAATAATACCTAAAAATCATCATTATCCATGGATTTCATCGTCTTTAATTTATTTTTCTTATTTTGCATATTGATATTTTTTATAACTTATGAAAATTCAAAAGAAAATGGGTTAGAACAGAACACAGATAAAATGTGAGTTAACGTAGAACGCAATACAAGAGGTATGAGTTGTGTGTTCTGTTCACCGACATAACTTATGTCGATGGTTCTGTCTTCTGGTAATTTATGCGTCATGCAGATGAGGCATAATGCGAGGTTGTTGTTTTCGGTTACCGAGCTATGCTAGCGTTCTTCTTCTTTCTCTCAATTTCAAATTTGTCATAATAAAACAAAAATCGCCAAAATATCACAGAAATCGAAAAATAATCACCAAATCACCACATTGACATGAAAATCACCAAATCTGGTGATAAATCACAAGCATTGGCAACATTGGCCAGCCTTCCTGTGCAGCAATTGAAAATTGTAAACACTGTTGCACGATCCCAAAAATTCTGCGAGAACTTGAGTAGGCCCAACTACAAAGATCAAATTTTCTGAAATTTGTCAATACGGCAGAGCTAGGAGACTGATTATTGGCATGCGCATTTACAAAAATATTTAGTATTCGGCAACACTTCGGTCGGTAGCCGGTCGGTTCGACGTGGGCGCTTTATCAACTTTCAATTTAGAAAATAGTTTTGATTGTAATTTCAAGCAGTTTCCATAGCTTCTTTGGCGATAATGTACATGTTACAAGGAAAATCTTTGAAACTGGAACATATGCGTGTTTCCTGTTATTTTTTATATTTCGGAATTACAACCCGGATTTATGATTTTTCTATTTCAACTAACTTTTTGTTTAATTCGATCTAGAAATGCACTTTTTNTACTATAATTATGTGTATGCCTAATTAGTTTTTGAGTTTTTCTATAGTGAAATTTTAGTTTTGACAATGTTGACGTGCTTGGTTCATCTATGGTGTGGAAATAAACAAAATATTCCTGGAATCCATTATTTTTCGTAAAGAACTTGAATATGAAAAGAGCAGAAATAACCCTCATCTTTGATAAAATTGGGCATATTAATCCTTTCGTTACGTTTGGCTCACATAAGCTTGACGAGAGCAAGGCATGACATTTGGACACAGCATAGGTAACATATGTTACATATGCTGTGATTTGGATGAGAGCATTGAGAAGAGAAGAGAGTATCACCGTTAAGAGTGAGTGGTGATATTCAAATGATTGAATCTTGTTGGATCATTGTTGACTTTAGTGTAATCACGATTTTTTTGGAAACATACAATCACATATCGAGGGCTTTCGAGGAACGAGGAAGTCTTGACGGCCCATATTTCATTTTTTGCACCTTGTGTGAGAGCAGGCAGCATATGTAGTTCCCATTTTGTGAACGGTATGAGAACAGGAGTGTCAGCTTGGATAGCTTTCAAAAGTTGCAATTTAATTTGATCATGCGGAAAGATTCGTTTAACTTTCAGTTCGATATTTTCAACTTCCTTTTTCGGTGTTAATGCAGCAGGAGTCTCTTCTATTTTGAAACAGTTGCTATCATCTCCAGATCGTACTAATCGAATGGTATGTTTACCATAGGAAACACACTGATAATCTTTGAAAATATTCAAAAAATGCTTGATGGGTATGAGCATGTTGAATGTTAGATGAGTTGTGTTGATGACGCCTATATTGTTGGGAAAATTCCAACTGGAGGTGGCCAAGTGTTTGATATCTTCGTCGGTGTAGATGAGAAAGCCTCTAACAGTACTAACAATTCCAAGTTCACGAACTGCTTCCAATTCCTCACCACTTTGCTCATAACTAGCAGATTGAAACATGAAAGCGCCAGCATTGTTTACGAATGACACCTTACTGTCCCCTTTGGTCTTCTCAACTTTTCCGCTAATGAATAGCAGACTATCGTACAAAGCATCGTAGGCATCTGATTGATTGACCTTGATTTCAATAACATCATTGTTGCCAAAAGACTTGACATATGGATAGTAGGTACGCCACTCTACCTTTTGTATGGACTCATCGTTTTATAGTTTTCGGAAAATGTTGATCACTTGATTGGACAACATGATAACCAAGAGAT